ATATCCAAAAGTTTTCATAAAATAATTTAATTTTGATCGTTCAGTTTGTGTCACAGCTATATAAAATAGTGATCCGATCTAAAAAAATGTATTCGGAGCTTATAGCCTTGACTTGAACAATAACCCGACCAAATTTCGTGAAGATATTTCGTCAAATACAAAAGTTTTCCAAACAAGAATTTGATTTTGTTCGTTCAGTTTGTATGGAAACTATATGTTTCCTTGGTTGTCCGATATCAGCCGTTCCGACATATGAGCAGCTTCTCCAGAGGAAAGATGTGTGTAAAATTTCGGGTGACTATTTCGAAAACTGAGAACTAGTTCGAGTGAATACAGACAGACAGACGGACATGGCTAAATGGACGCAGCTCGTCACGCTGATCATTTATATATGTATCTATTTTATAGTTTCTCCAACGTTTCCTTCTGTGTGTTACAAAGTACAAGTCTGCTACGAACTTAATATACCCTGTTCAGGGTATGATGAAATAAAACGTACGACTTACAACAAAAACTGAATGTCTAAATTGGTTGTAGCAGTAGTTTAATAGTGGTAAAGTACTACAAGAATTCAATCGGTTTAAGACAAACTGAGTGGAATTCGTTAGCGCTGCGAATATCGTAACGAAAGTGAATAATCTAAAAGCAAAGCATTTACAACGTTTTTTTCTCGCTTCGTTTTATTTTTAACGTAATTCATTCAATTTTCAATAGTAGAAGGTTTCCCTGTTCTTACCGCATCTGAATGTACCATATATAGTATGTACATATGTACATCAAATTTAACGATAGTACAACAACCAAAGTAGTAATAGCATTGAATAAAAAATTAAGGAATGCTTTTATGTATTGAAATCAGTCTTGCATCGAATTACATAATATTTTACGCTTTTGACGACAACGATATATTGTAATACGAGGAAATTTAAATATATTTAAAAATATATATGTATGTAAAAACAGAATTTCATTGAAAAGAGAAATGAGTTTGAATAAAAATACTAAAAAAAAATGTATATTTCATCCTTTAGTGCAACTTGTGAATTATACACTTAAATGTTGACATTCAGTTTATCGATAAATATGTTTGAAAAGTAATTTACCAGAGCAACAAACAATAATTATTCCTACCCAATGGCAATGATGAAGTTTGAACACTTGCTAAAACTCAAAACGTCAGAAAATTAATTCCGTTATAGTACGAACAAACGCCAAACATTTCCCGTCACAGCAAAGAAAATCAACCACTACAAATGTTCTTACAATAGAACTTAGAAGAATCTAAAAACTCAAGGTGCTTATTCGCTTAAAAAGGAACAAGGCGAAACATAAGGAAATCAAAACAACCGAAATACATTTCTCGTTCAAATTCGACGAATTGCTTCCTTAATACGAGTAAAAAATAAAAATTAAATAGCTGCCACTTTACTTTGAGTTGAAATAGAAAAAAGTTTTGGCATAATGACGCGCAACTCAAAGCACCGAAATAGAATATTTTGTTAAATTTTATATCTTTAGCTTCTTAAATGTGGACAGAACTTTTCGAATTGAGTGAATAGTACCGAAATAGACTTTTTCGTCGATTTCTTAAATATAAAAAAAAAAATGAGAAAACGTTTTGGCTAACGGCCTCGTTTCGCACGTTTTCTTTTCTTGTGCGAGACTCGATTCGTTTAGTGCAGTTATTTTTACTTTCCACTAAATATTATACATATGTTCCGTTAATTATCAGCTGATTTTTAATTTTTTTAAGATTGTGCTGTAGTTTAATAAAAAATTGTGTTATATAAAATTGTATTAAATAGTGAAAATCAGTAGAGTTAATTATAACAATTAAATAATATTTGTGTGCATCTACATATGGTGCATACATATGACGTTCATACGTTTGCACAATCAGGTGGTGACCAAATTCAATTTCTGGCTTTTTTTTACATACAACTTGAAATTTCTATTTTCGGCGCGTAAAAAAATGGAGCGCAACACGTGAAAAATAATCAGAATGAAGAAAAAGGGAAAATGCACATGCACAATGTATTTAGAGCGCTCAAAAAAAAAAACAAATTGTACGATGATTAGTACTATGCTAGCTTTTGTGCCAGTGCACTTGTACCTTAGTATAATAGTTTGTGCCACTAAACTGCATTCATATGTATGCTTAGTTAGGCATTTTAAGCATGCGTATACGCCAGTGTGAGGTAGAAGGCAAAAGAAAATATACAAAGTACACGTTGGTGGAAAAGTTTCTGCGCTCGAAATCAAAAAATACTGTTTCTGGTACGAACTTTATATTCTTTTATTCAATATATTCTCCCTTAACTTCAATACACTTATTCCAATGATTATCCAATAATTGTATGCCATTCCTTTAATGACTTTCCGAAAGCTCTGCAAAATACCCGTCTACGGCTGTAATAGCTTCTTTATTCGACGAAAAACGCTTTCCACCAAGTAATTGTTTCGGGTTTTTGAAGAGTTAGTAGTCGCTGATAGTCAAATCTGGTGAATACTCAAGCAATTCATACTTTACTTAGTTGAATTTTGTCATTGTTAAAACAATTTTGTGAACAGGTGCATTGTTTTGATGAAAAATGATTTTTTCGTGCTGCAAACCAGTTCTTTTCGCACAAATTTTTTTTATCCAGCTCATACAAAAGGCGATCATAATATTCAGATTTCAATTTTTTACCTTTCTGCAGATAGTCGATCAACAAAATTCCTTTTGCATCCCAAAAAACTGATGCCATAATCTTCTTTGCTGATCGTTGTGACTTCACCTGCTTTGGAGCTAAACAACCAGCTTCAGTCCACTGTAAACGTTCTTTTTTCAATTTAGGATCATGGTGGTATGGTTCTCATCCATCTTCTTATCCACAGTTATAAAACAACGCAAGAAATCGGGGTTCTTCTGCTTAAAACACTCCAAATTAAGCTGGCAAATTTGTTTTCGATCCATTTGTTTTCAAACAGCTTTTTCATATGTAATTCTCCATGTAAAATACGAAGTGCTCGTTCGTCTGAGGTGTCGATGGCATTAGCAACTTCACGCTTAGTCAAACTTAGATCTTTACTACCAATATTAATAACTTGCTCAATGATGTGGTTGCGGTTTTTGAACGTACTTCGCGTGGATCGTCTTCAAGCCACGGTTAAATTCACCAGCTCAAAATTCAACAGTGCGTTTTGAAGGTGAGGACTCCTTGTACACTTCTAACCATTGTTCATAAATTTCTTTTGCTTTTAAACCTTTCAAAACAAAGAATCTAATCACTGCGCGATATTCTATTTTTTCCATGGTAAAAAGATACTTTGACACGTCAACTTCAAGTGGCTTGTGAATGAATAAATAATTAGCAGAATGACTTGTAACTTTGCATATGTTCTCATGACAGATGTACCAACTTGAGAAATTTCTTGGTAGGTCCAACCAACTTTTCAACCAACCTGTAGTAACTTGCCACTTGTCAAAGCGCCTAACAAGATTTCAATGTGAATTTCGTTGATAGCGCTTAAGCAAGAAGAAATTTTAGCATAGTTAGAGCATTTACACAGAAGCATACTTAAGTTAAAAAAATTTCGTTGTTTTCAACTCACACTAGTAACTGTATACCATAAGTAGTTTAGATAAGAGATAAATACGATATGGGATCTACTTGTAGTGCTTATTTATATATTATGTCCAGGGTTGCAAATACTTCATTAAAAAAATCATTTAATTAATTTGAAAAAAAATAAAAATATTTTGTAATCCTGAAAATTTTAATTAAAAATGTTTATTTCCAAATACCGGTTTAAAAAATTAAGCTAATTTAATCCCAATCTCCTAATTAAATCCCATTCTACCAATTTGAACTTGAGCTCGCACTGAGCTATCATCTTCAATACTCTAGAGCAGTGCAATTGTAAAAGCAGAACAATTTGTAAACCAAGATGTTTGGGATTAAAATTTAAATTTTCAATTATTACTATTAAAATAAAAAAATTTATTTTTAATTATGTTTTTGGTATTCGGAGGGATTTCCAAGATCTTGAATTATATTTTCAGTATATTGGATTAAAAGTTGTATTAAAAATTAATTTTTCAATTGAATTTTAATTTAAAAATATATTGCAGAAAGAGTTTTTTTGAAAATTATTTATTATTTTCATCAAATTTATACACATTAAGATTATCCGCCAATGTTTGCCACTCAATATTATATGAAGGTACATATGTGGATTCTATGTGCGGACAATATAGTAAGTTAGTAAGGTACCTGAGAACCAGCCACTAACAAATTTTGTTTTAAAATTAAAAAATTTGGCACTTGCTCTTTGACGTTTTCAATCAAGAGAATCGGACCAACTCCACTATTTGAAAAGTTTACCCCTACCATGATTTTAGCGCCGCTATGTCTGACTATTTTTGCCGTTCCCACGACCGTCGGGTCTAAGTAACCGAAACGGACACGGATTTTTATCCGGTCAAACACTGTCAACTTGGTACCATGCCTCGAAATTGTGTTTTCTGCCGCTAAAAAAACAACAACTGTTTTTGTTGTAAATCGTGATATAGGTATATTCCGTGTTAGATTACGCCGAACAAAGTATCTTTTTTTTTGGTTTTGGATTCATCTAACCACAATATATATCGCATTTAAGACATTTGTACCATTTGAGCAAAATATACTTCATTTATCGGATCTCCTTATAAAGGTAAAATACATTTTTCATATTGGCACTTCTATTATTTTGTCGACAACCTTAAGTATTTTTCACATTGCCAACATAGTCAGAATTTTGGTAATACACATGACGACATTTCTGTTTATATTACAGGAGTTTGGATACATGATATTTAGTGTTTCTGTTGTTAATAATAAGCTAAAGCGTTACGTTTTGAGAATGTATTTTTTGTTATATTTATCTAAAAAGGTAACTGATTCAAGTCTCTCACTTCTTATGGACATATATTTAAATGAAATAATAATTATTTAAATTTTGTATTTGTGTGTACTTACGAGCTCTGCCTTTCACGATTTTCTCGTCTTTGCATTTCTATTGCTGTGGTCGCAATTTTGCGTTTCTTATAGCTTTAGCAGCCAGCAAACTGCAATGTGGGTTGGTGCAGCAGAAATGAATGGTTTTGCAAATATTTGCAAAATAACCACAAAACCAAGTAGTTGGTAAGTGTTAGAAAGTTCTTATTGAAGGTTAACGAAAATTGTGAATTTAACTTAACCACGTGAAATTAAAAAAAATTTCAATTACAACGACTAAAAAAACAACAGAGATATTGATATTGACGGCGTATAACAATGATGAGTTACGTTTGTACGTTATGAGTTTGCCGTCACACGCACATGCACACACTTCCTCACATGCTAGGACACGCGAATCCTTACGCAATATAAAACAATAATATGCCTTTGTTGTTGTTAAATGCGTTACACTCAACAAACGGTTGTCGCTGATATTCAATACTCGATGAACTCAATTGCGTATACTGTACGTTGTATGTTTTTGAATTGCGATTAGCGTGATACCCGTTTATTATGGATGCAACCCCTTCTCTATGTCGACTATGGTTACACTGGGCTGCGATATGCCAAATTACATCGTTGTTTTGTTTTTTGTTCGAAAATGATATCTTATTATAATCTCCGCCGGATTTAAAGAATTTGCTGCCGTTGATATTGATTTTGTATATCGATGATGTAAGTTTAGTATATTTTTAACCGCATGTTTTTTGTAGTGACGAAATCAAATCTTCACACAAATATTATTGAACTGAAAAATTGTTAGTGACAAAAAAATTACAATTGAGCATTTGTTAGTTTGACATAATTTATATTGTGGACTGTGGTGGAGCATTTGCATTTATTGTCACCAGGCAGAGTTTACAACATTGATTTGTTCAATAAATCCACTTTCACCCAATATTCAAATATTGGAGTTATTTAAAATATCCGGTTCGGATCAGTAACAGTATTGGCATGAGTTGTTGAACTGAATAGATTTTTTTTTAATATTAAGTTATTTTTTTGAAATATTTTACCACTATATGAATATAAATCGATTTTTATTTATTAATTCAGCATTTTCAAAAAAAAAAGAAAAAAAAAACATTATCTTGTCATATTAAACGTTGTAACCATTAATAACGTGTGTATATTGATTGGAAAATTGGCTTGACACTCCAGAAATTGTATGAACATAAACATCCGGTTTACAATTACTTTTATGTTGTTGTTGTTATTCTTTTTAGCAATTTTTAAGTTAGTTGTATTCGGTTAATTATTGATTTAACCTAGTCGTGTTTTTATTTGTGAACAGGATTTTTAATTTTCACTTTTGAGAACGTTTCATTCGCACAGAAGCATAAACGACACATACAGTCCCGAACATTAATTAGAAATTGTTAGGCTTTATTCTCACTTATTTTCGAAATATTGTTTAAACATTAAGTAGTTTTGGCGTCGATTTATCAGAATCTGTATATGCACTTGCGAATAGTTTTTGCAATGTTTGCGAAATATGTACGTTGTAACGTGAGCTTGATGGTGTAGTTGAAATTGATCGGTATTATTAATTTTAACCTGCAAAAATAAAAAGAAATTATAAGAAATGCATAGTTGATTTATTTATTTGTACAAATGCTTAAAACCCTATTAAGAAACCAGTAGTGTCAGTGACTTGTCGTCGGAGTCGGTAAATGATCAGCATGACGAGCTGAGCCGATTTCGCTTTGTCCGTCTATAGGTCCGATCGTCTGTTTTTGAGATATCAATGTGAAATTTTGCACACGTCCTTTTCTCTACCACTATAGCTGTCATACAAACTAATCGATTGAAATCCAGTTCTTGTATGGAAACTTTTTCATTTGAAAAGATATATTTACAAAATTTGGTTTAAATCAGACCACTATAGCACATAGCTGCCATACAAATTGACCGATCAAAATCAAGCTCTAATATGAAATATTTCGTATTTTTATGTATATATGTATATCCGAAGTTAATTATATTTTTTCTTTTAAATATGGATATTGGCCTTAAAACGTACTACATTCTCTATAAATGTACTAACTTCTATATATCTATATATACTTAGATAAATATTGTGTACAACAAATAAGGCCGTCGACAAATTTATGTACGAATATTCATAAATGCTGTTAGCTGATGATTATCCATATAATTTTAAGTTTACTTCATAAACTGTATAAAACGTGTATATGAATGTATCTATCTAATTTCGCGGATATCAAGCCCTTTTCAGGAGCTAATTACAATTATTTATTTATATAACAATGTACTTACGAATATGCTATATCTTTTTTAACCGAATTCATAACAAAAGCACGGTGAATGTGCTGATAATGTTGTAAATAATTATTTTACAAAGCATTAGCTCTCGAAAAAAATATATTTTGCCAATGCAAAAGAGAGTGCAAAGCAAACACTTTACACTCTGCACTTTGCAAAAAACATATTCACCACGCTACAAAGTGAGTGAGACAGATAATAGAATTTTGTGTTGTATTGCTTTTAATTTCTAATTGATTTTAACACTTCTCGATACAGGAAGAAAGCTCAGTTAATAACCTGCATAATATTCAGTTTATTTCAATAAAAATGCATACTTCCAATATGTTTAACAAAATGGACCAAATAACTTAAAAACAATCCATGTTTAATTTTCACAATTAAAAATCTGTAATCGTACTCATCGCAACACAACTCAAAATACACCACTCACACCTGCAAAATTTCATATTTGAATATAGGCCAACAAGATTAGGCACACACATATGTTTTGCAGATATTTCAGCAAAACGAGTTGAATCATAACATGAAATTCAGTTGGAAAGTTGGTTTTTTATTTAAAAACGGAAACACATTCGGCTGTCCTTTTGCAAAGGTAATCACCAAGCCGTGACTTCCATGATGTTACAGACAGGGTGTTATTATCTGTATTTTCTTTTTGCGATTTTTGTCTCACATTTGATGAATATGCACACACATATATATGTATATATATATATATGAATGAATATGTACATATATGTCTGAAAATCATTTACCTCCATTGCATCACAAATGTAATGTGTTTAATTTATTTTATTATAAAAAAAAAGTTTTCATAACTTACAGTTATTAGCCAATATATGGACCGAATTTTCACTTATGGACAAACATATACGTAATGATTGCAACATTTTGGTTATGGAACATATCAATACTTGAGGGTAATTTAGCATTCTTCAAGCGCGCATAAACTAGTCGAGTCAAATAGCTACAAGCTTGTTGTCAATTTATTTATTTCAATTCCAAACAAACTAATATGCACTAAATATTTCACTTTTATTCATATGTTTTGCAATTCTATTAATGAATTTATAATTTTAATACCATATAAATACACTTAAAAGAACTGTCTCGCCGAATAGCCGCATTGCAGCTTCACAACGAAGAGGCGAGACGAAAACACCCAATTTTAATCATCATACCCCACGTATATTTTAACACTGTCACCCTGTGGACAATAAGAAACGAAACCGCAGATGGTTATAAAAGTCCACTAACAATGGCACTCTTCAGCACATATTGCGTGCCGCCTTAGTGTGAACGGGACAAAAAACAAGAGTGTGGTAGAAAACCGCACACCAGATAGTGAAGTTGAACGAATTGGTAAGCAATTTGGAGAAATCTTAATGGATAAAATGACAATACGAAAATCTTACTAATTATACTGATTTAAAGTCGACAATATTCGATTTATTATACATGTTTGTACAACTTTTAGTTATTTTATAGTACAATTAATAATTTTCCATAAGACGAAGGCGAAAGTATGCATATGCAACAATATAAAGAATTTTAATATTGTTAAGGTTATGATTTTTTTAAACCACAAGGTTTTTGCACAAAGTTAAGCATACTGTCAAAAATAGGTATTGTAATTATTATTATATTATAATTTATTAATCAATTAATAGTCCACATTTTTTGATTATTTGTCAATTTTCTTCATTTCTACTTTGCAGTCACAAGTTTTGTGTGTACACGATTTTGTACTTCTTCGTATATTTCATTAATTCTTTTGCAGTTTAGTACACTATTTGTCTCGTTTTATCGCGAAGATTTTAAAAGTTAAATAATTTTCCCGTCGAATCAAGAAGGAGCACACCCTACACATTCATGCAACCGAATGAGTGAATTTTTCCGTCTGCCGACACCGATAAGCAATATTTTCAATATTATAGAATTAACACATGCGCTTTTCTTAAAATGTAAATTATGAACTTTCACAATTTCTAATAAGCTTGTAAGATATATTACCGGAATGATATTGGTCTGGAATATCTTGGTCAAAATGACCATATAATCCCAAAGTTCTATATATACACCACACCAAATCACGGCAGCAAGCAATGAAAACTACGAAAAATAGACGACTGACTAAATTGGCGTTGCCAAATGTTAAAAAAGTTTATCTCCAGAAAGTGTGGTGAAATCTGATATTTATAAATTGACGAAACCAGAGGATGTTAATGAACAGAGAGGGCGCAAATATTAAGTGTACTAAAACCAAAGAATTTTAATGTTCTATAAACATTTTTATGGAGTCAGATAAAGTTAATGAATGAGTCAATTCGTTTTCTTTTTGTTATTTTAATTTTTATTTATACGCATGCGCATATATTTGGTGGTGAAATTTAATTTTCGAACTTGCGCTTTTTCAATGTTCCCTCATAAAAATGTATATTTTTGAACAGCCAACATTAGCGCCTGTTCTATTTATTATCATTCTCTGTTTTAACAACTTGTTATTACAAATATGTATCGGTATTTTATTTCCACTGTTGTGAATATTATAAGATATATGGTACATAATGCAGACATATACACATATTACGAATAACATTATTTATAAATTAAGACAAATATTGTACAAAAATAAGAACTAATGTTTTACTAAAAATATACTAGGTTTGTCGAGATTCCACTTCACGAAACTCGGCTGGGTCAGTGAATCGTACAGTTAAAATATAGAAAATCGATGGAAATGGGATAAGACATAAAAAGGCATAATGGTGGCCCAACGCTACTATACCGTAGGCTAACAAAAGCCAATGAACAGCTGAAAGACAATTTTATCATAGTACTGGCAATTCATATATGCACTACTTTTTACTTACAAATAATTACGAAATTTTTAACCTCCAACAAGGAAGAGCGTATTAGCGATTTAAACGTCTGATCCAATTTAACTGAATAATGTATAGCGTTTGTTATCATAGCAATCCCAATGCTTAAATATGGAAAGAACCAATCTAAAACGAAGCGTGTTAGTAGATAATAAACACTTATTTGCTATAAATGTATTCGAATTTACAAATAAGGCCGCAAGCAAGCGCATGAATGGAGGTCAAAAGCGGGAGAAAGTAAAGTGCCGCGTAAATGGGAGCCTTTCCACGCACATCTGTAATGGCGCTAACAATTGGACGTATTAAGAACATTGTTGCTAAGCACAGGAAGTAGAATACGAGAACGATAGTTTGACTGTTGGAAAAAGCTATATTAGAAAATTTCAAACATACATACATACATATGTACATATATATGATTTTGGATTGGGTAATACTTACAGTGGATATACAGCTTCTTGAGTGCAATGCAGACGCGTTTCGTAATTTGGAGATGGATTGTAAAATAACGTATACCAGTCAGTGAATTTACGAACACCACAAGAATGCAAACGAAATTCCCACATTGGTTCCATAAGTAATATGGCCAGTATTGTTGAAAGTATTATCTCTATGAAGGCGCAGGCCGTAAGTATTAATTGCTTGCGTGAAAATCTATTGAAATAATGTGTAAATATAAATAATAATCATTATTATAAAATGTGGCGCAGTATTTACTTGCGATCCTTCGCATTTAAATCAATAAAGAAGCAATGCAGCATTAATGGCAGCATTGCCATAAATCCTAAATACAACCAGGAGTAAGTGTTCAACTCATCACGACAGGGTGAGCAAACGAATGATTCGTTTACGCGATAGCCACGCTCACATGCTCCGCAATCGGACCAGCTACCATTGTCATACAAAGTGCGTCCGCAATATTGACCAGGACAACGGTCCATGTTTATGGTTTTGTTTAACACTGTTAAAGTGTGTAGTTCACATTGGAACAATTTGCTGCTGTTATTTGATAATTTTATTCAATATATTATAATACATTGAATCTTGGCTATATGTTATTGTACATTTGATTTACAGAAACACAAACTTTTGTCAATTCTTGTTTACCAATTTCTAACAGCTGATTTCTTACATTTCTGCATCCCTACTTTCTTCCATTCACAATTGATGAGTTGTGAACGTTTGCTAAAATGTTTATTTTCATATCTAACAGATGTCGCACTTACTAGTATTAATTCAATTTAAGAAACAATTCTTAAAAATTAAGTTAAGTTTAAGTTTTAAGAGTTTTTAAATTAAAGAATCGCGGTGGATCGAGGCTAGGAGGGAAGGTTGGAGGGGGGGTTTTCTGCAAGGAGCTCTCCGTCAGTCTTAGCTTCAGGCTACCGGATCACTGTAGTGTTTTTCAGGCGGTAGAAATACTGCTGCGCAGTGCAGCCTCGTTTGTAGAAGTGAGCATCCACTCTGATAGTAGGGCGGCAATACTAGCTTTGAGCGCGCGTACCGTGCAATTAAAGCTAGTCAAGGAGTGTCTGTCCTCTTTAGAGATAGCGTCTGGCTATTTCAACATCAGGCTCGTTTGGGTGCCTGGTCACAGCGGAATCGCTGGAAACTGCAAAGCCGATGAGCTAGCCAGGGGGGCACCTTTGCCCCGCTCACATCGGAATGAGATCGGGTTGGATCTTAGCGTCTTGCACTCTAGCCTTGGATCAATGGACCTCGCGTGCACTCATCAGACGCTGGTCCACGACTAGGTCCTGTACGACCGCGAAATCCTTCTGGCCGAGAGTGGATCACAGGAGGTCGGGGGAACTTCTCGCCCTGAGCAAAGTGCATCTCGCCGCTAAGGTAGGAGTTTTCACTGGACACTGTCCAATGGGCACTCATGCGGTACGGCTTGGTGTACTACCCGACGATAGTTGCCAAAGTTGCATGGAGGAGGGCGAGGTGGAATCATCCCGGCACTCTCTCCTCCAATGTCCGGCTTTCGCTAGGCTGCGATTGAAATATCTCGGCAATCACACTTTAGGCGGACCTGAATACTTATCCGAAATGGATATTGGCCGTCTTAACAAGTTTGTAGTAAGCACAAAGCGTCTCGTCGACTTGTAAGGGTCTTTTGATCCAGATTATAGGAATTCTGTAGGTATCACAACGGACTGGCGTCTTAAGCTGTCCAAGTGGGATCCTTTCTGGGATCGACCTCCTAACCTAACCTAAATTAAAGAATGGACACATTGAATTAAACAAGTAAGCAGAAAGGCCCTTCGCAAAAAAAATATTAAAATTGGCAGAATGTGCGACCACAAATTGAAGCGCGCGGAAAGCTAATGGCACCTTGAACTTGATCAAACACTATATTGATCATACTCATCTACTGAATGTACGCTTGGTCTTTTGTACCAAATTTACAAGAATATTTATTTCAAGCAGTTTAATAAAATAAGTACTCAATTTATGATTACAATCCTTATTTATTTATATTACTATCCCTATCATATGTACATAATTATTACATCTAAAGATCCAGCTCTCTCAGCGCAAAGTTTAAAATAACAGACATCAGTCCCGCATCTTCTAATTCTAAAATATCTTTTCGCATTTGTTCATTTTTTTTGGGTAAAATCAACTACACAAATTAAAAGAAATAAAATATTACAAAGATTTTTAACAAATACATTTGCAACTTATTACCTTTTTGATATGTTCACGTTTCGCCTCATCCCGACACAATGCCAATGCCACTGCTGCCATATGAGCACGATCCAAGCAAATGCATAGCTCCGCAAATTCAACCAAATTCAACTTGTGTACAATCGGACAGCCCTGAAATAGTATGAAAAATATGAAATTAAATTATTTTGATATAAATTTTAACTCACCTGCAAGCGGAAAAGAGCCTTTTGCAATACTTCCTCCTGTGCAATTGAACGCGTCTGGTTGGCAGTTTTAAATGGTTGCCACAACACACATTCCCACGCAACCACCAAGCCTTCTATGTCTAGGATTTTAGTTTCGCATGACAATATATCCAATAAAGCATTTAATTCACGTACCATATTGAACATGGCCATACGCTTCAATATACCATTCCAGATTTTTGAGTGGGATATATCAAAGCCCAAACAAATGTTCGCTAATATTTCGAGTGTGTGCGGATTTTGAGCATTGTGTTTCCAAATCGTTTTTAATAGATCGACTTTATTGCAATTTGTAAACTTTTCCAAACTTAAATTGTAACCCAACTGTTTTAACTCATGCACACACTTAATGGTAATGTATTGCTTCTGGCTAAGTACGTTTTTGAATGACTCACTGCCATCGTTTAATTTCGAGAAACATTCGTACATTTGCAACTGTTTGCTGGTGCTTATACCGCTGAAAATGTTTAAAAACAATGCTTGTGCTATTATACGTTTTTTTTTTTAATGTAATTGCTTCATCACCTACCCATCATCTGGGAAAATGTGCGCTACAAAGAAGTCTACAGCCTCCTTCTGCGGCCAACTATTTAGTATGTAATTAGATCTGCATTATAAAAAAAAAATTTAATTTCGACTGCCAATAAATATATACAATACCGTCACAACCTTATCACATTTTCTGCTGCATTGCCCGCATTCTCTTCGTTAACATCGTCTGCACTCTGTTCTTCGAACAATGTTTCTTCCAATACATTTTCAGTACTCGAGCGTACTGTAAAAGATAACCACTTCTGCAGCAATTGTAATTGCATCGCCGCCAAATCTAAATTATGCAATTCTGCAATCTGCTTTGCCACTTTATTAATATTCAACTTGCTCGACTTCAATATCACCTCATGATGATAAAGACTATAAATAAGTTCAGTTGGGTTCTCAACTAGACGCAGTAGTTTCTCTTCGGTAAGACCGTATATGTAAAGCAAATGCTGTGTCTTAAGTATGGGATATTTTCGTTTGATTTTCATCAGCCGATCTTGATAATTTTCATTAGTTATAAGATCGCTATGCTCCATCGCATACTTGTAGCATTCATATGAAGCTTCTACTTGATCCGCGCCATCTGGTGCATAGTTCGCAACAAAATAGAGTATCATAAATATTTTGGACGGATTGTTGACATACTTAACGAGGCGGAGTATCTATAGATGTATACAAATCAAGTACTATTACATTTTAGCATACAATTAGTGAATTTTCAAACTTACTGATTGTAGAAATGCATTATTTGTAGGCTGCAAATGCCATATTTCGGACTCAGTTTTGGCTTTATACTCGCCAATGGAGTTTTTCACCGCCGACATGCAGAAGTAATCGCGCACTTTGGCCACATCACTTGATCCTTTGAGTATTGTGTGCATTTGCATGAGCGGAAACCAGCTTTCACAGTTTTCTACACTTAATTCGTTGTCTAGAAATAAAAAAATATATATATAAAACAAAATATATAATAAAAAAAATACAAAAAAAGGTAAAAAAAAAACAAATAAAACATTAAACAAAATAAACAAAAAATAAATTAATAAAAAATTAAAAAAAAAAATTAATAAAAAATTAAAAAAAAAAAAATTAATAAGAAATTAATAAAAAATTACAAAAAAAAAATAAATAATTTAAAAATATATATAAATTAAAAAACATAAATTAATAAAAAATTAAAAAAAAAAAAACAAATAAAAAATTAAAAACAAAAACAAATAAAAAAAAAAAATTAAAAATTAAAAAAAAAACGTTAAGTCAGTGGTACCGTAGCTAGAATACCCTTTAAAAAGAAAAGAGTTTTTCACATATGTTAGTGATCAGCTTCTTGGGAAAGAAGAACATGTGCAAAAATTTCAAAGCGATAGCTCAGAAACTGTGGGACTAGTTCGCGTATAAACAGACAGACAGACGGACATGGCTATAACAAGTCAGCACGTCACGCTGATTATTTATGTATATACTTTATAGGG